ATTTTTTTTATTTATTGTAGAGATGAGGTCTCGCCAAGTGCCCAGGCGGGTCTTGAACCCGTGGGCTCAGGCAATCCACTCACCTGAGCCTCCCAAAGGCGCGGGATTACAGGCTGAGCCACCAAGCCCGACTTTTTTTTTTTTTAATGAGTTCTTTATTAACTGAAATTTCATTTTTTTTCTTTTCTTTTTTTTTGTTGAGTTGGAGTCTCACTCTGTCACCAGACTGGAGTGCAGTGGCTGCTCCCAGCCACCGCAGCCTCGACCTGCTGGGCTCTGGCGATCCTTCCGCTTTAGCCTTCCAAGGTTTTCAATAACAATTTGTTGAGTGAAGGAATTAAAAAACGAACGTGGCGAGGAGGCAGAGAAAAAGGGACGCTTCTACACTACTGGTGGAAATGCAAACTAGTGCAACCTCTTTGGAAGACAGTGTGGCGGTTTCTGAAAGAACTAGAAATTGACCTTCCATAGGACCCAACAATTCCCCTATTGGGAATATACCCAGAGGAACTAAATCATTCTACAAAAAAGACACCTGCACACATATGTTTGTTGCAGCTCTATTCACAATAGCAAAAACATAGAACCAACCATGTTGCCCATCGAAGCTGGACTGGATAAAAAAATGCGGTACATATACACAATGGAATATTATGCAGCCATAAAGAAGGGCAAACATATGGACTTTGCAGCAACTTGGATGGCTTTAGAGTCGATCATACTCAGTGATCTATCCCAGAAACAAAGAACAGAGTACCATATGTCCTCACTCATAAATGGACCTTGGACAATTGTAATACTATAAGAAAGGTATTGGCAGTAGTGGGAAACTGTCAGGGGAGGGGGATGAGATTGGCAGCTGAGGGATACTGCAAGGGGAGGGAGGGGCACACCTCATCAACAAGGGTACCTGCATGCTCAACGTTTGTATACCTAACCCTGAATTGTACCCTACATTTTTATAATAAAAATAAAAGAATAAAAAGAAAAATAAATGAACATGTATGCTTATAAACGCATGGGAAAATTCTAGAATGGTTCCAAAGAAAATACCGAGTGGTTGCCTTCCGGAAGGTAGAGTAAGAACCTAAAAAAGAGCTGGGTTCAGTGGCTCAGCCTGTAATCCCAGCACTTTGGGAGGCTGAGGTGAGTGGATTGCCTGAGCCCGCGGGTTCGAGACCCGCCTGGGCAGGTGAGACCTCATCTCTACAATAAATCAAAAATTAGCCGGGCGTGGTAGCGTGTGCCTGTAGTTCCAGCTACTTGGAAGGCTGAGGCGGAAGGCTTGCCGGAGCCCAGCGGGTCGAGGCTGCGGTGGCCAGGAGTGGCCACTGCACTCCAGTCTGAGTGACAGAGTGAGACTCCAACTCAAAAAAAAAAAAAAAAACCAATAGTAAAAGTAAAAAACACATAAATAAGCAATTTCTTCCAACGCTGATACGAGCCATAGAGCTTTATACACTGCCCAAGATTATGAACTGGTGAGGGATTACGATTGCTTGGCAAATGCATAGCAGGCACTCAATACATTTGCAAACACCACACACTCCCTGCCCTCTTTTTACTGTATTTTCCCTAAATTATTTATCTGCATCAACATGCTATGTGACGCATAACTATACATTTACACCCTATGGACTTTACATCTTACTTATTTTGTCCATTTTATTTAGTATTGTCTTCCCAATCTCTCTCACACACCTCACTACAATGCAAGCTTCGTGAAGACGGGGACGAACTTCTGCCTGGATTGCTCACCTCAGTGTCCCCAGAGCCTAGGACAGTATCCGGCGTATAGTGGGACACTCGATACATTTTCAGTGAGTGAGTAAACAATGGGCTATTGGAGGAGTGCGTGCATGAATAAACACAGTCTTAGTTGTTAGAAATATAAGGATTTTAGGAATAGGGGAGTGTGACGCCTGGGACTGAGGAGACGGCCTGGGACTGGGGAATGGGGTCTTCGGGTCTCTCGGGATGGATGCCCACCAGGCGGCCCGGCGTCCCTTTCCAGACCGCCAGCGCGTTGCTTAGCAACCCGCCGCCCGGCCCTCCGCCGCCGCCGCTAGAGGGCGAGCGAGTCGGGAGGCGGGAGCGCGCGCGCGT